CATATAAGAAAGATCAAACAATTTGCCATCATACAACGAACTTAGATCGAGAAAGATCAATATAATTACTCTCATCTAATGATCTTCAGTTAAATATAAGAGCACAATCGATTACAAGTCGATCTTGTTTCTCCTCTAAACGATTACAATGTTATTAACTATAATATTTGTGATCTTAAACAGTTAAGAAAGATTAAACTATTTTCCAATTCAACGATCTTTAGTAGAATGATAAAAAATTCGTTCCACCTTTTTCAATGACAAAGTTGTTAACGATTCAGTATGCTTAATCAGTCGCACAACTATAAGTTAGATCAAACTATTTGCCTACGATCTTCCAGCTACAATTTCGATCTTAGACCGATCTTCTTATTTTCTATTTAACACGCTTTTATTTAGTTATATAAATGATGGAAAGATCAATCTCCATTTGCCAATATCAGACAATCTTTAGTCTAATAAAAAAAGTGGTTACAAATCGATCTAACTTTCATAATTTTAAATTTCTTTCTTAATCATTGACATTTAAAGATTGAAACAAACTTTATAGTTCTCAAGTTGTTCATTTGTTCTTCGAAAGCATGAGTGACCATACATCATCATTGTATGAACTTTAGTTAGATATAAGAATGCTAAAACTTTCGATCTTCCTTTTTCCACAAAACGATCCTTTACAAAATTCTTTTATAAATGATCAAAGATCGAGCAAGATCAAACTATTTATCATTAACCAATCCAATCGTTAGTCAATCTTTAAACCAAGATAGCTATTTAGCAGATTTGAGAGAGCTCTTTGCTAATCACTCTCTTTTGCTCTTTTTGCTTAAAACTCTAACTTTAGATAGTTATTAAAACGATCTTACTTTCCACAAATAAACGATCATTTGTTGCTTATCACTCTGTTTTGCTCTTTTTGCTTAAAACTCTAACTTTAGATAGTTATTAAAACGATCTTACTTTCCACAAATAAGCGATCATTTGTTCTTCGAAAGCATGAGTGACCATACATCATCATTGTATGAACTTTAGTTAGATATAAGAATGCTAAAAATTTCGATCTTCCTTTTTCCACAAAACGATCCTTTACAAAATTCTTTTATAAATGATCAAAGATCGAGCAATAGCAAACTATTTATCATTAACCAATCCAATCTTTAGTCAATCTTTAAACCAATATAGCTATTTACGGATTTGAGAGAGCTCTTTGCTAATCACTCTCTTTTGCTCTTTTTGCTTAACTCTGCTCTAAAATTTGAGAAATTTGCTGGATTTTATGTTTTAATTTTTATTTTCTTAACTCTTTGATTCTAAGTCTCACCAAAATAAAACTTTCGAGCTTAAAACTTAAGTAATTAATTAAAAAATTTAATTATTTTTTTAAACAAAATTATGATTTCAAAATTGTAATTAAAAAAATTATATAAAAAAAGTATTGTATAATAAAACAAAACTACTCCATTTTAAACACACAAAACAATTAAAATATAGAACAAAAGTTAAAAAAAGGAAAATACAATTAAAAAACTCTTTTGGTAAAAAAATTAACTAAAAAATTTTAAATTTAATTTAAAGTTAATATATTTCTCCAAAGAGTTTTTTAGCATAATAACACACACTCAAACTACAAATTATATATTACAAAAAAAAAAAAAAAAAACAAGTAAAACCGAAAACAAAACCCAAATTCTTATCACTGATCATTAAAGAATACATGTGTAAAAAAGTCAACAACCAAATTTATTGAAATACGAGTATATGATTAATATTCATTATTCTATAAAAAAAAACAAAAAAAAAATATAACAAAATAATATTTAATAATAAATAATATAAAAAACGAAACAAGAAATTCAAAAATGAAATGATAAGAATAAATTTAAGATAAAAACAAAAATTTATGCATATAAAGAAATGATAATTGAGAAAAAAAAACGAAAAACTGGTTTTTATTTATTCTAGATCAAATACAACTCTGACGTAAGAGTTTTGTATTAGGGATAATAAAAATTTTGAATTAAAATTAACTTAACGATCATTTCCCTTCTTCAAACATTACTTTACAAAGTTATTAACTAATCTTTAGTTTGCGATCGCAGATCATTGAACTTCTTTTCACTGTTAAACTATTATTTTTTGCTCTGACATAAAACGATCGTACCATATTAGATGAATCACAGAGGAATGGTTTTTGAAATAATATTCAATAAGAATGATCACCGATCGACAAAGAGCCAAAATAGTCTTTACTCAATGATCTAAGATTAAGATCGAATTTTGGTAAGATATACAAGTGATCATATATATATATATGATATGATCACATATATAATATGTATGATCATACAGTTAGATATAGAGCCAACGATCGTAATCTTCTTTTTGTCACAGATCGAAAAGTAGAAATCATAAGAGAGATCGGCTGACATTTCGATAATATGCTAACATTTCTAAGTGATCTTTAGTTAGATAAATATAAGGTTGATCTTATATAGTGATCACAGGTCGATCTTTGTTTCTACATTTAACATTAGTCCCATATATATACATATCACATTTATTGTCCATTTACATTATCACTTTTTTCCACTAAACATTGATCATAAGTAAAATTTATAAGTGATCATATATGGATTTTGTTTTCTCTATTGATCGATCAAGATGCCCAAGTTTTCTATAGAAAAATTTGTAATCGATAGATCAATCAATCGTTACAAGTTATCAAATAAAAATCTTGCGATTCATTGATCGTTACAAGTTTTATTTAAAGTGATCATAGATTGATTTTGTTTTCTCATTAATCGATCAAGATGCCCAAGTTTTCTATAGAAAATCTTGTGATCGATAGATCAACCGTTACAAGTTATCTGTTTAAGAGTTTGCAATCCATTGATCGTTAGAAAATCTTGCCATCGATCGTTACAAGTTTTTTATAGAAAATCTTGGCAATGATCGATCGTTACAAGTTTTCTATAGGAAATCTTACAAACGATCGATCGTTTCATGTTGATTTTGCTTCCATAATTGATATCTTGATCGCTCAAGTTTCCTACAGAATATCTTGCGATCGTTCCATCATTAAAAGTTTTCTATAGAAAATCTTGCATACAATCGATTGCTACAAGTTTTCTATAGAAAATATTGCGATCGATCGATCGTTATAATTTTTCTATAAAAAATCTTACGATCGTTCAAATTTTCTATAAAAAATCTTGCAATCGTTCAAGTTTTCTATAAAAAATCTTGCGATCGTTCAAATTTTCTATACAAAACTTACGATCGTTCAAGTTTTCTATAGAAAATCTTGTGATCGTTCAAATTTTCTATAAAAAATCTTGCGATCGTTCAAATTTTCTATACAAAACTTACGATCGTTCAAGTTTTCTATACAAAACGTACGATCGTTCAAGTTTTCTATAGAAAATCTTGCGATCGTTCAAGTTTTCTATAGAAAATCTTGCGATCGTTCAAGTTTTCTTTAGAAAATCTTGCGATCGTACAAGTTTTCTATAGAAAATCTTGCGATCGTTCAAGTTTTCTATAGAAAATCTTACGATCGTTTAAGTTTTCTTTAGAAAATCTTACGATCGTTCAAGTTTTCTATAGAAAACTTACGATCGTTCAAATTTTCTATAGAAAATCTTACGATCGTTCAAGTTTTCTATAGAAAACTTACGATCGTTCAAATTTTCTATAGAAAATCTTACGATCGTTCAAGTTTACTTTAGAAAATCTTGCGATCGTACAAGTTTTCTATAGAAAATCTTGCGATCGTTTAAGTTTTCTATAGAAAATCTTACGATCGTTTTTCGGATTTAATGTAATATACATCCTCCTATCAACCTAACCTACGATCGTTTAAGTTTTCTATAGAAGATCTTACGATCGTTCAAGTTTTCTATAGAAAACTTACGATCGTTCAAGTTTTCTATAGAAAATCTTGCTATCGCTTAAGTTTTCTAAAGAAATTCTTGTGATCGAGCGGTACAAGTTTTCTTTCGAAAATTTTGCGATCGTTTGAAGTTTTCTATATAAACTTTTTTGTAGAAAATCTTGATGAGTGATCATAGCTAATAATTTGTATTAAAGGAAAAATCTTTAATTAAGGTTTTTGGTTTAAATTTTTATTTTTTATTAAAAAAAAAAATACATATTTACAACAATTTATAAACAAATATATTTAACACGATCGCTTTAAAAGCCCACCTCCAAAAATCTAGTTCTTCTTTTCTTTTCTATCCTTCAAACGAGCATAACACTCTGGGATATTACGATAGAAGTCACACAATTTTGTATCGGGATTGAAAGCCAAATAACGACCACAATTATACAAACGAGGATGACCATTAACACACACGAAGTACTTCTTACAGCTGTTGGGATGACGGAAATATTGCAATTCACCTTCGGGTGTAACATCAACATTCACTTGAACACCATCGACCTCCTCGGGTGGAGGGCAAGTGAAACCCAAGAAAGCTTCAGCATTACAATCCTTAACTAGATCGGGCCAATCGCACTGATAGCTGTCGACATTGAAAGCTAAACCTTCGGGACATTTGGTGAGTGTGGAGACGCCATGAGCACAGTTACGATATTCACCACATTTGGCAGGATCTTCGGTGGGATAGAAACCGAATTGACGAGGGCATTCTTCGGTGGCATTGGCAGGTTGAAGGCGAGCTCTCTCTTTGCAGGAGGCAAAGGGAGCATAAGTACAATCACCAGCAGTTTTGGAACGTTGTTGGAAGACCAAACCATCGGGACAGAGTTTTTCTTCGGCTACTCCATCTTGACACTGGATATAGGCATCACATTGTTCCTCGGTGGCAAAACGACCATTAGGTTCGGGACAGGTGAAGGCTAAAGCTATAGATAAATGAAATGAAAGTTGAAAATTTATAAATTAGTGAGATGAAAAGGATTTTTAAAAGTTCTAAGAAAACAAAGACAAGACAAGACCGACTGAAGGTCACCACCCTTGATTCCAAAGACTTTTTAGATTATTACGCTTAATTTTCGTTTGAGCCAATTTCTTTTTTATTTACAAAATAAAAACAGTTTCATTATACATTTTCACTAAGGACTAGAAAAATATCAAATATATATAAAAAAAATATCAACAAAAATTTATATTTTAATGTCCCGTTTCACTTAAAGACGCTTCTTTTGTCCAGCTCTAGCTGCGGCCGCAGCCAAACGGGCATTTTTGATTTCGACACCACGTTGCTTGATCTCTGGACTACAGTTGCTAACATTCTCAATATTGTCACATTGTTTCAATTCTTCATTAAAAGCCTGATCTTCACCGCAAGAAATACGTCTGGGACGTCCTTCAATGCACAGATAGTATTGTTGGCAATTATTGGGATTGGGATAGAACAAGTATTCCTCCTCAGGTTCACCTAACAAAGAAGATCTGGCTGGCAAATCGGGACACTTGAAACCCAAGAAAGATTCAGCATCACAATCTTCAACTTGATCGGGCCAATCACATCTATAGGTGGCAGGATTCCAAGCCAAACCATCGGGACAATCGAAGATATAACCGCGACCAGAGGCACAATTCTTGAATTGACCACAGTTCTTAGAATCACCCATGCGATAGTAACCGAATTGATGGGGGCACTCGTCGGTAGGTTGGGCAGCCTGGAGACGGGCTTGACCCTGAGAACACTCTACATCGATGGGATAACCACAGGGATAACCAGTTGACTTTTCGTTAAACAATAAACCATCGGGACAAACTTGTTCGGTAGCCACACCATTACGACATTCAATATAAGCATCACATGATCCCGAAACTGGATAAGTGCCGTTAGCTTGAGGACAGGGACCAGCTGCGAAGGCTGTAAGTAAAATCAACAGAAAAGAGAAATAAAAAGGAAAAATTAATAAATTTCATAATTGTTAAGCTTACCTACAGAAATATTTTGAAGTTTTTGCAAAAATTTTAGAAAAGCACTTTTAAAAGAAGAAGATAACAGAAAACGTGTTAGGGTTTAGGCCCTTTAAAAGTAAAGTTTATATAGAATACTTGTTGGTTTTAATTAAATTTCAATTTTAAGGTAAAAATCACTTCAAATTTATGTAGAGATTAAGTTATATTTGATCATGATGACAACGGATATTCCCCCCATTTAGAATTAAATAAATATTAGGCGGCACTTACAGTCGAACATCTTTTATCTTTAGGCGTATTGGTGGTCTATTTACAAACATTGGACGTTACCGGTCGAATACCACAGACAAAATTTGTCGCGAACTTTGAAGCCTTGCGGAACATTAGAGTAAATACCTGTTGTTACACAGAAAAACAATAGGGGATATACATTAAGAATCCAGAAATCTATATTTAGACTACCGAAAACTCATAATACTATCCTCCAGGAAGAAGTCCGTGCAAAAAAGGCATGTATAAAATGGATTGGAATAAGTATGACGCGAACTGAAGTGATATGAGTGATGTGAGAATCCAAGTACTCTTACCGAAGTAAGTTTCGCATAATATGAGTGCCAGCTTACTCGGGAATAATCGGCAACGAAGAGCAAATATATTTGCTATAAAGTTAGGGGAATTCCGAGAAGTGAAAATGACGATTTCAAACCTGATCGATATAACATTGACTAAGAACTGAGCTAGAACTGAATTAGAACTGCACTAGAACTGAACTAGAACTGAACTAGAACTGAACTAGAACTGAACTAGAACTGGACTAGAACTGAACTAGAACTGAACTAGAACTGTACTAGAACTGAACTAGAACTGAACTAGAACTGAACTAGAACTGAACTAAAACTGAACTAGAACCGAACTAAAACGGAACTAGATCTTGACTAGAATTGAAGTAGAACTGAACTAGAACAGAACTAGAACATAACTAGAACATAACTAGAACTGAACTAGAACGGAACTAGATCTTGACTAGAACTGAACTAGAGCTGAACTAGAACTGAACTAGAACTGAACTAGAACTGAACTAGAACTGAACTAGAACTGAACTAGAACTGAACTAGAACTGAACTAGAACTGAACTAGAACTGAACTAGAACTGAACTAGAACTGAACTAGAACTGAACTAGAACTGAACTAGAACTGAACTAGAACTGAACTAGAACTGAACTAGAACTGAACTAGAACTGAACTAGAACTAGAACTAGAACTGAACTAGAACTGAACTAGAACTGAACTAAACTGAACTAGAACTGAACTAGAACTGAACTAGAACTGAACTAGAACTGAACTAGAACTGAACTAGAACTGAACTAGAACTGAACTAGAACTGAACTAGAACTGAACTAGAACTGAACTAGAACTGAACTAGAACTGAACTAAAACTGAACTAGAACGGAACTAGATCTTGACTAGAATTGAAGTAGAACTAGAACTGAACTACAACTGAACGACAACTTAACTAGAACTGAACTAGAACTGAACTAGAACTGCACTAGAATTGAACTAGAACTGAACTAGAACTGAACTAGAACTGGACTAGAACTGGACTAGAACTGAACTAGAACTGAACTAGAACTGAACTAGAACTGGACTAGAACTGAACTAGAACTGAACTAAAACTGAACTAGAACCGAAGTAGAACGGAACTAGATCTTGACTAGAATTGAAGTAGAACTGAACTAGAACGGAACTAGATCTTGACTAGAATTGAAGTAGAACTGAACTAGAACAGAACTAGAACTGAACTAGAACTGAACTAGAACTGAACTAGAACTGAACTAGAACTGAACTAGAACTGAACTAGAACTGAACTAGAACTGAACTAGAAATGAACTAGAACTGAACTAGAACTGAACTAGAACTGAACTAGAACTGAACTAGAACTGAACTAGAACTGAACTAGAACTGAACTAGAAATGAACTAAAACTGAACTAGAACTGAACTGAACTAGAACTGAACTAGAACTGAACTAGAACTGAACTAGAACTGAACTAGAACTGAACTAGAACTGAACTAGAACTGAACTAGAACTGAACTAGAACTGAACTAGAATTGAACTAGAATTGAACTAGAACTGAACTAGAACTGAACTAGAACTGAACTAGAACTAGAACTGAACTAGAACTGAACTAGAACTTAACTAGAACTGAACTAGAACTAGAACTGAACTAGAACTGAACTAGAATTAAACTAGAACTAAACTAGAATTAAACTAAAACTGAACTAGAACTGCACTAGATCTTGACTAGAATTGAAGTAGAACTGAACTGAAGTAGAACAGAACTAGAACTCAACTAGAACTGAACTAGAATTGATCTAGAACTAAGCTAGAACTGATCTAGAACTAAGCTAGAACTGATCTAGAACTGAAGTAGAGAAAAACTAGATTTGTACTAGAGGTAAAATAGAACTGAACTTTGCTGAAATTTTATTTTGAATGCATTTTAATGTTTAATACCAAAACATGGATAACTCATGTATGTAATTCAACCATCATGCAAACATTTAGCTCAAGCAAGTATTTATGGTGAAATATTTAACACCAAATACTAAGAAAAGATAAAAACAAAATAAACATATATTTAAATACATTAACATTTAAAAGTACTTCTAGAAACCAAAATAAAACCGGCTTGCAAACTTAAAGCGAAATATCTTTAAAATTCCCCAAAAAAAATCTGCAGATTTAATAAAAAAAATCAAACAAAAATTTGTTTAGTAAATAAACGTGTATATAAATTATTATGCAATAAAAATTAACATTTAAATGTTACCAATTGTTTTTGTTTAACCAACTTTGTATACAAAACAAAACAACAACAATAAATAAACTAAAAAATATATAAATAACATAAAATCTCAATAAAAAATACAATAAAATAAAGATGCTAAATGACCTTGAAGTAGAAATAAAATATTTATACAAAAAAACGCTTGAAAACGAGATAAAGAAGACACAGAAAGCGAAAAAAAAATAAATAAAAAAGTACACAAATACCAAACAAGTTTGTTGCTTGAATCTTTTGTTTGCATTAGAATATAGAAAATGAAATGAAATTAATGCAGCAACGTCTGTTACTAAACAATTGCAAATAAAATTTTATTTATTAAACAAATTTAAGTTTATTTTTGTTGTTTTTATTGTTTTGATAAAAGTTGAATTTTTTCAAGTGAACTTTTGTCATTTTATCATTTAAATCTTAAGATATTTATGCGTTTTCAGGCGTTTGTTTTTATTCTTAAAGGTCAATTTTGACATAATTAAATAATTTATTGAATATCATTAGTCAAAGAAGATTTATTTGGACGAACAGTTTTATGTTGCAATGATATATAGAAATCCAGCAGGTTTTTTTTCAAATGCTTATTTTGAAATTTTTGTTTTAATGATTCTTAAACTTTAACATCTTAAATCAAATTAGAAACTATTAAACGATTACTCAACAGGGTTAAATATTTAGCAACACTAATTGCTTGACAGCTTTACAATTGACACCTTCATATAAATAAATGAATAAAATTTTACAGATAATTTATTTAAATTGTAAAACTTAGTAATTAATTATTTTGTAATTGAGCTGTTTTTAACAAGTTTATTACTATTTCCACATACGTAAGAAAAACAATTCAGCGGTTGATCATCTAATTCACAGGGCCTGTAGACTATTGTCTGTGCAACATTGATCTATTGTTTTATTTTACACATTTGGTATTGAAATTTAAACAGAGGTCAAAGCTACTGAAATGTTCAATTCAAAAGTGATGTTCAACCTAAAATTTTCTATAATAGGTGAAATTAAACGAACTAGAACTGAACTAGAACAGAACTGGAACTGAACTAGAACTGAACTAGAACTGAACTAGAACTGAACTAGAACTGAACTAGAACTGAACTAGAACTGAACTAGAACTGAATTAGAACTGAACTAGAACTGAACTAGAACTGAACTAGAACTGATCTAGAACTGAACTAGAACTGAACTAGAACTAGAACTAGAACTGAACTAGAACTGAACTAGAACTGAACTAGAACTGAACTAGAACTGAACTAGAACTGAACTAGAACTGAACTAGAACTGAACTAGAACTGAACTAGAACTGAACTAGAACTGAACTAGAACTGAACTAGAACTGAACTAGAACTGAACTAGAACTGAATTAGAACTGAACTAGAACTGAACTAGGGCTGAACTAGAACTGAACTACAACAGAACTAGAACTGAATTAGAACTGAACTAGAACTGAACTAGAACTAAACTAGAACTGAACTAGAACTGAACTAGAACTGAACTAAACTAGAACAGAACTAGAACAGAACTAGAACTGAACTAGAACTGAACTAGAACTGAACTAGAACTAAACTAGAACAGACCTAGAACAGAACTAGAACTGAACTAGAACTGAACTAGAACTGAACTAGAACTGAACTAGAACTGAACTAGAACTGAACTAAAACTGAACTAGAACTGAACTGGAACTGAACTAGAACTGAACTAGAACTGAACTAGAACTGAACTAGAACTGAACTAGAACTGAACTAGAACTGAACTAGAATTGAACTAGAACTGAACTAGAATTGAATTAGAACTGAACTATAACTGAACTAGAACTAAACTAGAACTGAACTAGAACTGAACTAGAACTGAACTAGAACTGAACTAGAACTGAACTAGAACTGAACTAGAACTGAACTAGAACTGAACTAGAACTGAACTAGAACTGAACTAGAACTGAACTAGAACTGAACTAGAACTGAACTAGAACTTAACTAGAACTGAACTAGAACTGAACTAGAACTGAACTAGAACTGAACTAGGACTGAACTAGAACTGAACTACAACAGAACTAGAACTGAATTAGAACTGAACTAGAACTGAACTAGAACTGAACTAGAACTGAACTAGAACTGAACTAGAACTAGAACTGAACTAGAACTAGAACTGAACTAGAACTGAAATAGAACTGAACTAGAACTGAACTAGAACTGAACTAGAACTGAACTAGAACTGAACTAGAACTGAACTAGAACTGAACTAGAACTGAACTAGAACTGAACTAGAACTGAACTAGAACTAAACTAGAACAGAACTAGAACAGAACTAGAACTGAACTAGAACTGAACTAGAACTGAACTAGAACTGAACTAGAACTGAACTAGAACTGAACTAG